TGGGTGCATTGATACACCATCCAAAGTCTAATTAATAACTTCACCATGCTCAAAAGGGATATTCACTGGCTTCCATCTACCAACACGTACCCTTCTTTGCGAGGCATTGGAAAACCTCCCAGGTCTTTGTAGTTCAATCTGTGTTTGAAATTAACTGTTTGACTCAGGGATCTTACAGATAATTGTACAGTGCATTCGGAAAGTATTCAGACCCCTTCTTCCACATTTTGTTACGTTACAGCCTTATTCTAAAATGGATTAAATGAATAAAAATCCTCATCAATCTACACACAATACCCCATAATGACAAAGCGAAAACAGGTTTTTAGACATTTTTGCAAATGTATTAAACATAAAAAACAGAAATACCTTATTTACATAAGTATTCAGACCCTTTGCTATGAGACTCGAAATTGAGCTCAGGTACATCCTGTTTCCATTGATCATCCTTGAGATGTTCCTACAACTTGATTGGAGTCAACCTGTGGTAAATTCAATTGATTGGACATGACTTGGAACAGCACACACCTGTCTATATAAGGCAAAAAACAAGCCATGAGGTCGAAGGAATTGTCCGTAGAGCTCCGAGACAGGATTGTGTCGAGGCACAGATCTGGGGAAGGGTACCAAAACATTTCTGCAGCATTGAAGGTCCAAGAACACAGTGGCCTCCATCATTCTTAAATGGAAGAAGTTTGGAACCACCAAGACTCTTCCTAGAGCTGGCCGCCCGGCCAAACTGAGCAATCGTGGGAGAAGGCCAAGAACCCAATGGTCACTCTGACAGTGCTCCAGAGTTCCTCTGTGGAGATGGGAGACATTTCCAAAAGGACAACCATCTCTGCAGCACTCCACCAATCAGACCTTCACGGTAGAGTGGCCAGACGGAAACCACTCCTCAGTAAAAGGCACATGACAGCCCGCTTGGAGTTTGCATAAAAGGCACCTAAAGGACTCTCAGACCATGAGAAACAAGATTCTCTGGTCTGATGAAACCAAGATTGAACTCTTTGGCTTGAATGCCAAGCGTCACATCTGGAGGAAACCTGACACCATCCCTACCGTGAAGCATGGTGGTGGCAGCATCATGCTGTGGGGATGTTTTTCAGCGGCAGGGACTGGGAGACTAATCAGGATCGAGGGAAAGATGAATGGAGCAAAGTACAGAGAGATCCTTGATGAAAACCTGCTCCAGAGCGCTCAGGACCTCAGACTGGGGCGAAGGTTCACCTTCCAACAGATCAACGACCCTAAGCACACAGCCAAGACAACACAGGAGTGGCTTCGTGACAAGTCTCTGAATGTCCTAGAGTGGCCCTGCCAGACCCTGGACTTGAATCCATGCCAAATCTATTCAGTCTCCTGAGGGGGAATAGGCGTTGTCGTGCCCTCTTCACGACTGTCTTATTGATGTATTTGGACCATGAGAGTCTGTTGGTGATGTGGACACCAAGGAACTTGAAGCTCTCAACCTGCTCCAATACAGCTCCGTCTATGAGAATGGGGGCGTGCTTGGTCCTCCTTTTCCTGTAGTCCACGATCATCTCCTTTGTCTTGATCACGTTGAGGGAGAGGTTGTTGTCCTGGCACCACACTGCCGGGTCTCTGACCTCCTCCCTATAGGCTGTCTCATCGTTGTCGGTGATCAGGCCTACCACCGTTGTGTCGTCGGCAAACTTAATGATGGTGTTGGAGTCGTGCTTGGCCACGCAGTCATGGGTGAACAAGGAGTACAGGAGGGGACTAAGCACACACCCCTGAGGGGCCCCCATGTTGAGGATCAGCGTGGCAGATGTGTTGTTGCCTACCCTTACTACCTGGGGGATGACCCGTCAGGAAGTCCAGGATCCAGTTGCAGAGGGAGGTGTTTAGTCCCAGGGTCTTTAGCTTAGTGATGAGCTTGGAGGGCACTACGGTGTTGAACGCTTAGCTGTAGTCAATGAATAACATTCTCACGTAGGTGTTCTTTTAGTCCAGGTGGGAAAGGGAAGGGTTGAGTGCAATAGAGATTGCGTCATCTGTGGATCTGTTGGGGCGGTATGCAAATTGGAGTTGGTCTAGGATTTATGGGATAATGGTGTTGATGTGAGCCATGACCAGCCTTTCAAAGCACTTCATGGCTACAGACGTCAGTGCTACGGGTTGGTAGTAATTTAGGCAGGTTACCTTGGTGTTCTTGGGCACAGGGACTATGGTGGTCTGCTTGAAACATGTAGGTATTACAGACTCGGCCAGGGACAGGTTGAAAATGTCAGTGAAGACACTTGCCAGTTGGTCAGCGCATGCTCGGAGTACACGTCCTGGTAATCCGTCTGGCCCTGTGGCCTTGTGAACGTTGACCTGTTTAAAGGTGTTACTCACATCAGCTACGGTGAGCGTGATCATCCAGTTGTCCGGAACAGCTGGTGCTCTCATGCATGCTTCAGTGTTGCTTGCCTCGAAGCGCGCATAGTCATTTAGCTCGTCTGGTAGGCTTGTGTCACTGGGCAGCTCGCGGCTGGGCTTCCCTTTGTAGTCTGTAATAATTTGCAAGCCCTGCCACATCCGACGAATGTTAGAGCCGGTGTAGTAGGATTCAATCTTAGTCCTGTATTTACGCTTTCCCTGTTTGATGCTTCATAATAATATAATAATAATAATATGCCATTTAGCAGACGCTTTTATCCAAAGCGACTTACAGTCATGCGTGCATACATATTTTGTGTATGGGTGGTCCCGGGGATCGAACCCACTACCTTGGCGTTACAAGCGCCGTGCTCTACCAGCTGAGCTACAGAGGACCACCTGAGGGCATAGCGGGATTTCTTATGAGCGTCCGGGTTAGAGTCCCGCTCTTTGAAAGCGGCAGCTCTACCCTTTAGCTCAGTGTGGATGTTGCCTGTAATCCATGGCTTCTGGTTGGGGTATGTACGTGGGGACAACGTCATCGATGCACTTATTGATGAAGCCGGTGACTGATGTGGTATACTCCTCAATGCCATCGGATGAGTCCCGGAACATGTTCCAGTCTGTGCTAGCAAAACAGTCCTGTAGGTTAGCATCTGCGTCATCTGACCACTTCCATATTGAGTGAGTCAATGGTACTTCCTGCATTAGTTTTTGCTTGTAGGCAGGAATCAGGAGGATATAATTATGATCAGATTTGCCAAATGGAGGGCGAGGGAGAGCTTTGCATTCGTCTCTGTGTGTGGAGTAAAGGTGGTCTAGAGTTTTTTTCCCTCTGGTTGCACATGTAACATGCTGGTAGAAATTAGATAAAACAAAGGGGTATGAATATTTTATGAATGCACTGTATGTGTACTAAAGTAGTCAAAAGTGTAGTATTTGGTCCCATATTCCGAGCACGCAATAATTACATCAAGCTTGTGGCTCTACAAACTTGTTGGATGCCCAATGGAAATGAGTGGTAAATAATGTTGTGTCGTTTTGGAGTCACTTTTACTGTAAATAATAATATAATATGTTTCTAAACACTTCTACATTAATGTGGGTGCTACCATGATTATGGATAGTCCTGAATGAATCGTGAATAATGATGAGTGAGAAAGTTAGACGCACAAATATCATACCCCCAAGACATGCTAACCCTCTCACCATTACAATATGGGGGGGTATGATATTTGTGCGTTATTGGCGTTCAAGCAGGCAGAAATCTGTCCGGTACGACGTAGCACTGTGATAAAGTCGCTCTCACTACACTGGAAGTTAATAGGAATACGACTTTTAGATCGCGAAAACGTCTATCATACATGTCATATTTCAATACTGGCCGATGTCATAACTCGGGAGGATGTCTTCTCTCGAATGAGCAATTGACCACATTTTTGCGATATTCCTACATCAATAAATGTGTAATGTAACGGAGGATCTAGCACATTTTCCCTATTTGTCTGCCTCTTTAGTCCAGGGTGCATTGCATGGTGCCATTGCCAGAGATATTATACAAAAGAGATAGAAATCCAATGAAAGAAAGAACGTGTAACGCCCCACCTAGAAGCCTGTCGACCAATCGCGTCACGTTGTCATGTTGCGTCACGCGATTGCTAAAATAATCGTCACGCAATCCCTTCTCAAAGCCAGTGTATCTGTCGAGAAACGTGCCTGTTTTCCTCATGAAAACACATTATTGCGTTTCAGAGAGGAACTGTACAAATCAAATGTTATAGCTATTTATTTGCTATACTTATTTGCCATTCACTTGACCAACTGCTTTTTCTGTATACAGTGCATTCGGAAAGTATTCAGACCCCTTGGCTTTTTCCACATTTTGTTATGTTACAGCCTTATTCTAAAATAGATTAAATTGTTTTTTTCCCCCTCAACAATCTACACACAATACCCCATAATGAATAAGCAAAAACAGCTTTGTAAATGTATAAAATGCAAATGTATAAAAAGTAAAAAATTGAAATATTACATATACATAAGTATTCAGACCCTTTACTCAGTACTTTGTTGAAGCACCTTTGGCAGCGATTAAAGCCTTGAGTCTTCTTGGGTATGACGCTACAAGCTTGGCACACCTGTATTTGAGGAGTTTCTCCCATTCGTTTGTAAATTTAATATTTAAATTTATGGGGTATTGTGTGTAGATTGATGAGGATTTGTATTTATTTAATCCATTTTAAAATAAGGCTGTAACGTAACAAAATGTGGAAAAAGTCAAGGGGTCTGAATACTTTCCGAATGCACTGTATGTCAAAGCACAGGCTTATACTGTATGTTGATCAGTTGTTTCAGAAAAAATGACATTGGCAACTGTAGCTGTGTGGGTGTGGGATCTGATAATGGTGACGCATGAGCCATGAGGTGAAGGAGACATGTGCCAAGTTGCCAAACGACATGCAACCAGCCAGCCAGCCAGGCACACCAGCCAGGCATACAGACAGAGAGGATGAGGCCGAGGCACCAGAGTGAAGAAACTGAGACATGCAGTGAGAGTTGGGGGTTGCATGGTGAAGGGAGAGGGAACTAAATGGTCATAACTGGCACGGCCATATTCATTGGGCTCGACGGTCAGGCCGGCCCACACACACACACACACTGTACTGGATACTGGAGGTGTAATTCTCACTACTTACTGTCTCGCTCTCCTGCCCATCCGGCAAGGTATTAGACTCACTGCCATAGTGCAGAGGGGAGTACACCCAGGTCCTGTCCTCTGGGGGCTGTCGGTGCACAACCGACACAGCAGAGGGCGTCAGAGAAAGGGAGAGAGTGGGGGCCATTGGACACACACAGAGAAGCAGAGGCAGGCAAGAGAGATAGACAGGCCAGGAAAATAAAATAAAATTAGAAATGCCAAAGGAGGAAATGCCAGGACAGAAAGTGTGAGCTTGGAATATAGATTAGCCTAACTGCAGGGAAATCCTATTGGAACACAGCATAGAGGGTTTGTGTAATAAAATATTAACATTTCCTTCAAAAGAATGTTAGTCTTTCCTATTTCCTGCTATCAGTCAAAACTCTTCAGTTCTAATGCTGGCTGGTATGTATCATGTGCCTAAGAATTGCTTTCTATGACTACGCTATTTCTATTTGATTAACACCTCATCAATCTAAAAAGCTAAGGTGAAGTGGACTAGGAAAAAGGATGAATCTACAGTATGCATCAGCCAGAAAACAGGGTGGGAGTGGGTGGTTGGCGACAGGGGTGGTGGGTGGAAAGCGAGGTTGCCAGCACTGCCAACAACCAAAATGACATCTACTCTCAAAGCATCTTCCCCCCTTTCATTCTCAATAAAGAAAAGTGCTCTGTGCATTGCATTTACTATTATGTGCATTAAGTGTTTAGCCCTGACAGCGCCTCAGTGCTGCTCTGTCTCTGAGGCCACTCAGGTGGAGATAGAGGGAGAGACTGAGAAGGAATTAAAGAGAGAGAGAGGTGGGAAGACAGGGAGTGGGAGCAGAGGAGAGAGACAGATGGCCTCAAATGAGAAACCAAGAGCCTCCTCCTATAACTCAGCCACCTCATCCCTTCCTTCTCCTCCTTTCTTGCCCCATCGCTCCCCCTCTCTCTCTACAGGGAGAGTCTTCTCCAGCCGTTTGATTTGATTCAACATGTAGAGGAACAAACCCCAAGCAGAGGATGAGATGGATGAATAACGTTAAAGCTACAGTCTGCTAAAAGAAAAACAACAGAATTATATCAAGAATTAAAATGACTATTGAACAGATTTCCAGATTGCAGACTGTAGCTTTAACAATGACATGATATGAAGGCAGATCAAAAAGGCCATGACCCTTTTTGTTCAAATGAGATGAAACACATGATGAAATAAAAATGATCTGTAACAATACGTAAAGCATGTAATGTGTCACGGCCTGTTACGCATCAAGGCACCATCAAGCATCCTCTGAGAAAAGATGCTTGTCAAGGGAAGTCAGCTTGTTAGTCATTTGTGTGAGATCTTGTGTATGTCTTTTCATTCGGATCCGTCTATTTCAAAGCCATGCCACCAGAGGTCTCTTCACAGTCCCCAAGTCCAGAACAGAGTATGGGAGGCGCACAGTACTACATAGAGCCATGACTACATGGAACTCTATTCCACATCAAGTAACTCATGCCAGCAGTAAAATTAGATTTAAAAAACAGATAAAAATACACCTTATGGAACAGCGGGGACTGTGAAGCAACACAAACATAGACACATGCATTCAAACATACGATAACATACGCACTATACACACATGTACACATGGATTTTGTGTTATAGATATGTGGTAGTAGAGTAGAGGCCTGAGGGCACACACTTAATATGTTGTGAAATCTGTTATGAATGTATTATAACTTAGAACTGCCTTAATTTTGCTGGAACCCAGGAAGAGTAGCTGCTGCCTTGACAGCAGCTAATGGGGATCCATAATGAATACAAATACAAAACTGAGGAATCGCTACATGTACAGCACTAAGACTCAAAGTAAGCAGACTGGGGGACTAAGCTACAACAACTCCATTCACAGCTATAGACCATTGATATCCGTATAAAAAGGTGCTATTGACTGAAGCATTGACTAGACATGAGAGCTTGGGACTATAAGGTTCTATCTGCAAAAAGATGATTCTGAGATAATTGGCTTTAAAGTTCCGAAACCTCATTGGTTTGAATGGTGTCAGCAATTTTTATATTGTATTCTTTTGAACATAACAACATGAATTTGGGTATTCAGAGTAATATACAGGTAGAGAGCATTGAACAGAACAAGGCTATGTCAATAAAAATGTTGGACAAAAATGCAGATAGAACCTTATAGTACCAAGCTCTCGTAGTAGGCATCTAAACTGGGAGCCATAGAGAGTCCTACTAACTTACACTGCAGCTTTCTCCTCCGACGGGACAGGAGAGAACACCCAGGTTCTCCCGTCTGCAAGCTGACAGCACACCCCCAGAGAAAGAGCGAGAGAGAGAGAGATGAGAGAGGGGAGAGGGAGAGAGAGAGATGGGGGAGAACAGAGGGGTGAAAGGGATGGAGGGACAGACAAATGAGATGTAGCTGGAACATGGATGGAAATTCAAGGTTCATTATAGAGGTGATAGAAGAGGAGATTGCTGTTTTGACTGTGTGATGGTGAAGGGTGAAGAAATTAAATGTGAATCAGGCATGATGATGAATGGATTTACAGGTCTGGTGCCCTCCTCCTCCTCCTCCTCCTCTCATCCCCCCTTTCCCCTTCCTCACTCCTCTCACCACCCTGAGCCTCAGTCACAGCTTAAACAGATAAATCAGAGGAGCGAGGGAATGTGAAAGACAGGGAGAGAAACGGCGTGAAGGAGAGAGGAAGATAAGGGAAACAGAGGAGACAGAGTGAGAGAGCGAAAGACCCAGAGCGAGAGGGTGAGACAGAAACAGAGAGAGAGTGAGTGCAAAAGGGAGGTGGTGAATGCTGATGATAAATGAATCATTCAGGCTGTAGCCACTTGTGAAGCACTTCTCTGCCATCTCCCCAACGTCTGCTCTGACTAGAACAATCACTTCAGCCCTCTCTCCAAGAGCTCTCAGAATAATGTCCGCTCCGCTCCGTCTCTCAGTACTGGTGCAATATCCCACACATTGTTCTGATGAAGAGTCATCTACTTTAACCAGTCAAATCCCAGAAGACAATCATATTTTTATGCTGTTTATTGGTATTTGCTTTGAGATTGCTTTACACATGATGAGATGACACTACCATACAACCCATATAATGAAACCATTTAGAAGCACTAAATTAGAATGCTATTAGAATTCCATTTAGAATGTTATATGACCTAATACGTGTCTTCGGCTGGCTAAATGACCACAGGTGCATGGATACAGAGACAGACAGTGGTGATAGTGGTTGTTAAAAGTGTTGCCTCTCTGCAGCCTACAGAGCTCCACTCTGTTTCTCCTGAACTACAGCATGAGAGTAGAGTCAGAGCAGGGCTGGTGAGTTGAGATGGTCATCAGATGACTAAGAGCGCTCAGACAGACAGACAGACCTACTGACCCTCAGGGCCTCCAGGGACACAGTGTGAGGTGTTTCATTGCAGGAAAGACTGTCCACCAGTCAGAGCAACGCCAGAGGAGACTTTCCTGTCTGGACTTCCCATCACTTCTCACCACAGACTCGTATATTAATGCATGGCTCTGGCGCTGAACTCAGTGTCGTAGAGCCCAGACTGCTACAATAACACCTGTCAGATCAAAGTCAGGCTGTCTGAAGAGAAGTAATCTATTAATGTTTAGGAGGACGAGGGCCATGCATGCAAAACAGAAAGCACACACTCTAAACCAGTTAAGAGAGATGTGGTTAGAATAAAAGAGCGAACAACTCAACCGTAACTTCATTATCTGCTGATGTCATAGCCTGAAGTACTGTCCTATTTGTCTGGGCCCACATTCAATTATGTTTAGTGCCACATTGAGATGACATCAAGTGCTTAGGACAAAGCAGAAGTGAAGCTAGGGAGATGGACTATATTAACCCTTAAACACCTCAAATCCCAGTCTGAACACCCCAGAACATTCTGAACACTCCACCCCAACCCACTCCGAACACACCAGAACAGTCTGAACACTCTGCCCCAACCCACTCTGTACACCCCAGAACATTCTGAACACTATATTCCAACCCACTCTGAACACCCCAGAACATTCTTAACACTCCAACCCAGTCTGAACACTCCAACCCAGTCTGAGCACTCCAACCCAGTCTGAACACTCCAACCCAGTCTGAACACTCCAACCCAGTCTGAACACTCCAACCCAGTCTGAACACCCCAGAACATTCTTAACACTCCAACCCAGTCTGAACACTCCAACCCAGTCTGAACACTCAAACCCAGTCTGAACACTCCAGAACATTCGGAACACTCCAGAACATACTGAACCCGCCAATCCAACCCAGTCTGAACACTCCAACCCAGTCTGAACACTCCAACCCAGTCTGAACACTCCAGAACATTCGGAACACTCCAGAACATACTGAACCCGCCAATCCAACACAGTCTGAACACTCCAACCCACTCTGAACACCCCAGAACATTCTGAACACTCCAATCCAACCCAGTCTGAACACTCCAACCCACTGTGGTGTCTTCTGGTATAACAGTCCCATGCAGGTGTCTCACCTCACTCTCTCTCTCTGCTCCCTCTGGATTCCTACTGTCAACGCACATGGACAAACAATATTTAACAAAACAAAAATGATGGCCAATGGAAATGATGGGAGCTAGCTGTGTATAGTCTAGCATCTGCTGTTGTCTGTATCATGTTGTGCTGTATGCCTACCGACTGACGTAGGTTTAATCCTAGGAGCTATTTAGTAGCTAGGATACTGTAGTATACCGTATGTTGTAACTGAGCTGTATGCCTATAGACATGGTAACAGTTGGTATTTAGTATCTATCATAACTGTGCCTTGTGTGCCCAGGATCCTATTCATTAGGCACTAAATGGATGAAAACAAACTGAAACAGTGAGAAACATTAGTTTCATTGTTTGTTACAAAAGGAATACGACCCAGGTGTGTGTGCATGTATGTTTAGCCAATGAAAGCACAGCTTACAAAGTAGATGTCTGTAATTGTTACGTCATCCTCGTCATCCTGGGAGGCTTGGCTGGTGCAGCCGGACCCTGACACCATGCTGCCCCGGCGGTCCCGCTCAGCCTCTACCACCACCTTGGAACTGGCAGGTGCCTCCGGCGCCGAAGCAGGGGTCTCCGGGCCAGAGGCCTCAGCTGCAGAGGCTTCAGCAGGGGCCCCAGGGGTATCAGGGGCCGGGGCAGAGGTGGAGGGTGGGGCAACAACAGCAGCAGAAGCTACCTCTGGTACCTCACTGAGAAGATACAGGGGTCAGTCACACACCTGCTCATACACAAACACGGTAGAATTACTGTACACACCTGCTCTCAAACACACACTCTCTCTTTCTCCTTCTCCCTCCCTCTCCCTCTTTCTGAAACCAGCCCAGACAGGCAGAGCTGACCGATTAGATCAAAGGGAACAGAGAGGCTCGGAGGCTGTTGCTAAGATGCCACGAACTAAGACTTACACTACCAGATGGCACAGTGCCACCACAATCCCGCTATTGTCCAGACCCAGATCATGAACTACTAGGAACGACTTAAGCTAATCCCAGATTGCTTTCTCAGCTTGTGTGTTTAGATAGAGAGACAGAAATGTGAAGTCTGGCGTTCCTAAAGAGCAGCGACAGCATCTCAGACTCGGAGAAGGACCTGTTTGTCTGGAAATAAGTATTTAATGGGGGTGGGGGGCTGGTTTGCAACGCCAGGGTTGTGGGTTCAATTCCCACGGGGGGCCAGTATAAAAAATTATGTATGCACTCACTAACTGTAAGTCGCTCTGGAAAAGAGCGTCTGCTAAATGACTAAAATGTAAATGTAAATGTGTTGTAGTTGCCATGCAGCCAGGGACCTCACTCTCTTTCTACCTCTCTCCCTCTCTTTTTCTCTCTTGCTCTCACCTCTCACATCTCACTCTCTCCCCAAGCAGGTGAGTCTGAGGCAGCTTTGAGGAGCAGGGTCTCCAGATGGCTAATTCCCCAGTCCCCCTGTCTGCTCCGTCCCCTCCACCCTTCCCCTACTACCCCACCCAGCTCCCAGAGGCCATATGTCTAACTTGGTCTCAACCCCCCCGGCCTTAGCCCCAGACCCATCTGACCTAGTTCCACTGCCCGGCCGCTCCATAACTTTCCCCATGCACTCCTGTCTTTCCGTCACACCCTTTTACAGTCACTGTCTTTCTCACCCTACTACCCTGTCTGTCTGTCTGTCTCACCCTACTACCCTGTCTGTCTGCCTCACCCTACTCCACTCTCTTAACCTAATTAGATGTCTGCTCCAGAGAACATCCAGAGGCAGTGATGATCTGTCCATAACAAGGGACTTAACAGCATAGCAACAGGCCACAGCCACCCCAATAACCAAATGGGACCTAGAGTAAGATGTAAGGTGGGGACTTAATATCAACGCCAAATGGGAGCATGACTGCCCCACTTCCCAGAGCGGATGGTTAGATAACCTAGGGGTTAGCCTGTCCCAGGTGAGACATTTCCAGGTTATTTTTAGTAAAAAGTGCCGTAGCAGCAGCAGCACGGTTCCTATTGGAGTCAGAGCAGTCGTAACAGGTATTTAACCTGACAGCCCCATCATTTACATTTTACATTTTAGGTAGGATCTGAAACACTGACTTTATACTTGGGATTCCCGGAGTTACAGTGAGTGCTGTCAAGTATGTTAGGTATACCAACATGGTGCCTGTTGAAATGTGAATAACTCTGTAAATGCATGGCTCTGGTTTCAGTGAGTGTGTTGGATGCTGGGTGTGGTGCTCAGTAGAGTTGAGCATGCCCTCAGGGCCTTGTGTAATACATTTTGGTCTATGTAGATGAAGGTTGAGGCTGTGTACCTGGTCTCTGGAGAGGGCTGTGGGGCTGTGATGGTGGGCTCGCTGTCATGTCTCTTCACCTCCACCTCCACCGTGATGGTCTGCTGCTCCTCCAAACGCACACGCACCTCCTCCTGGGTCCTACACACACACACACATACACACACACACACACACACACACACACACACACACACACACACACACACACACACACACACACACACACACACACACACACACACACACACACACACACACACACACACACACACACACACACACGTGCAATGTAAGTACACACACACGCAATACAACTCAGCGACAGGAAGGGTGGTCATACCCATAAAAACACAGACCAATAGGCTGACCTGACACACCCTAGCCTAGTGGCCTTACTCACTGGTCAGAGCCAGAATGACTAGCGCTGTAAGAATAATAATAATAATATAATAATATGCCATTTAGCAAACGCTTTTATCCAAAGCGACTTACAGTCATGTGTGCATACATTTTTGTGTATGGGTGGTCCCGGGGATCGAACCCACTACCCTGGCGTTACAAGCGCCGTGCTCTACCAGCTGAGCTACAGAGGACCACACTACCAAGTCCTTTATACAACGGAATAAGTTGTGCATTCAAACAGGCCAAGCAGGCAACGTAGTGTTCTTACCTCCCGTCATGGCTGACAGACTGGGTGTGCCTCCTGGAGAGAAACAGACAGACAGAGAAGTTAATGTGTTGTAAACCTGGGTAGGGTACATCAATTAGGTTCTGTGGCTCTGACAGTTCAACACAACCAGTGATTGTTTGTGATTCAGTTCTGAATATGGTATAACCATTATATTATGCATCTTGACTTATTTTTATTTGTGAATTCTCTTTTTTTTTTAAGGACATACCCTATGAATACATACTCCATAAATAAGACATTGTGACCATAGCTGTACCTTCTCTCAGAGCTGTTGTTCTGGTACCTGTAGCGGGGGTGCTCTGCTCCAGCGTCTGAAGGAGACCTCTCTGGGATGGACAGAGAGGTGGTGGAGGAGAGCGTGGTGGCGATGGAGGCCGTGGTCGCATCCTCAAACGACGGAGGGGTGCAGGGGAGGAGGTCTGGTCGCCCTGAGAGAGAGAGAGTGTGTGCGCGCGCGCGAGAGAGAGAGAAGAGACAAGGGGGGAGAAGTGGGGAGAGAGAATCAGAACAGGTTGTCAAAACACCTGCATCAACAGCTAGGATAAAATGATAGCGCTGTGTGAAGGTGGAGTGTGTGAATGTGACGGGGGGGTGTTTGTATGGTCTAGGTCCCCCTACCCTCGTCCTCCAGCGTGGGGAAGCTGCGTGCTCCTCTCAGGTCATAGATGTTATCGTCTCTCTCTGAGGGCAACTGGCTGGCTGACCAGGCGGCCCCGGGGCCAGTGTACTTAGGCACCGTCAGGCCCACACGACCCTTCTTAATGGGAGAAGACTTCAAGGCTGAGGAACACACAGATAAATAACATCACTAAGGGGAACACTTGTCTTCTTACCACCAATGGGAACACAGTCCTACATGTGTGTTTGAGTGTTCCAATATCTTCCATATTTTCTCATAATGTTTCACCTCCCAGTACAAAATACATAAGAGGATTTGCAGTGAAAAAGTACATCAATTCAAAAGACATCAAGTTAAAGACATCAAGTTCAAAACCAAGATTCAAGCATAAAATAAGTTAATTGAGCAGGTCTTTGTTTTCCTCAGAGTGCCTGAGGCAGTGGAAGCCATGAGTCTGTCAGTCTGACTGGTAGTCTAGTCAGGTCTACTCACAGGAGCTCTTCTTGAACACATTGCTGCTCATGAATTTGAAGAACCTGTCTGCATAGAAGCCCGGCCGATGGACTGATACAGTGTCCTGAGGGGGGGATAAGAAAGAAAGGTATGGGAAGATAAAGACAAATCGAACGAGAGAGAGGAAGCGAAAACAGGAGAGAGACACAGCGAGAGAGAGAGAGAAATAATGAGGGCGAAAGAACAACACATTTACTTTAAGTACAGTCCATCTCTCCAGAGCGAGGCCATTCTTAGTTAGGATGCTGTACGCCCCACTGTATGGCCTAGTTTATTAATAGAGTAGGCCAGGCGGCTCAGGACACACACTCTCTCCCATTATTACACATGCACCAATGGGCTAAGATCACATGGCTGTCCAGGACACACACTCTCTCCCATTATTACACATGCACCAGTGGGCTAAGATCACATGGCTGTCCAGGACACATGACACTGGGGTGTTTGGTTCAGTCTGACCCAGAGAGAGAGGAAGAGAGAGAGAGAAAGAGAGAGAGAGAGAGAGCACGAGAGAAAGAAAGAAAATAAAAAAGAGAGAGAGAGAAGAGAGAGGTGTGTACAGTAATTCTACCATGTTGAGCCAATGAAAGCACAGCTTACAAAGTAGATGTCTGTGATTGTTAAGTCATCCTCGTCATCCTGATGCATCCGGACCCTGACCCCCGGCGGGGAAGCATGGTGTCAGGTCCGGATGCACCAGCCAATTCTCCCAGGATGACGAGGATGACTTAACAATCACAGACATCTACTTTGTAAGCTGTGCTTTCATTGGCTCAACACACATGCACACACCCGAGAGAGAGATTATATAGTATAACCCCATCACTCAGTCATTGTGCTGGTTTCACAACACGGTGAGAGACAGGGTGAGAAACTCCTTCGCCACCAAGGGTGACGTACACCAGGCTTGTTAGACCATTTCAGGGGTGGGGGTGGGGGGTTCGAGACAGATTTTGTTGTGTTACAGATTGAATTGAAAATTTTAATTTTTGGCCACTGGCCTACACACAATACCCCATAATGTCAAAGTGGAATTGTGTTTTTCAACATTTTTACAAATTAATAAAAAATGAAAAGCTGAAATGTCTTGAGTCAATAATTATTCAACCCCTTTGTCATGGCAAGCCTAAATAAGTTCAGGAGTAAAAATGTGCTTAAAAAGTCACATAATAAGTTGCATGGAATAATAGTGTTTAACATGATTTTTGAATGACAATCTCATCTCTGTACCCCACACATACAATTATTGGTAAGGTCCCTCAGTCGAGCAGTGAATTTCAAACACAGATTCAACCACAAAGACAATGGAGGTTTTCCAATGCCTTGCAAAGAAGGGCACCTATTGGTAGATGGGTAAAAAAAATACCAAAAATACATTGGTTATCCCTTTGAGCATGGTGAAGTTATTAATTACACTTTGGATGGTGTTTCAATACACCCAGTCACTACAACGATTACAGGCGTCCTTCCTAACTCAGTTGCCGGAGAGCAAGAAAACCTCTCAGGGATTTCACCACGAGGCCAATGGTGACTTTAAAACAGTTACAGAGCTTAATGGCTGTGATAGGAGAAAACTGAGGATGGATCATCAACATTGTAGTTTACTCCACAATACTAACCTAATTGACAAAGTGAAAAGAAGGAAACCTGTACAAGGCACTTAACTCTTCGGAGTCTGGAGCTTTCTTGGCCGTTTTTGGGTACCTTCAATTTTGCCCTGATATACTACATAAAGAAATGTTTACCAGACCAATGTTGGGTATCTTTTTTTTCAGCACAACCTCACCTATATGATCTGTTAGTAAGTTTTTCACTTTGACATACTATTTCAACACACTGGACCCAAACACACACAGAAAACACAAAGTCCGTTTAGAAAAAAGATGGTTTTTTTATTGTAAAACCCTCAAACATGGTGAACCAAGCATTTAAAAAGCTTCAAATTGAACCACAAGGTGCAAATATGAACATATAAAAGTATTTTGGTGATATATACAAGCAATAAATAACTATTTACAATAAAAAGTAGGTATAACCACTGGCGTTTTTCTTCTATTCTAACCCTAAACCTTTTTGTGCCACTCCTCAAAACAGTTTCTGTCCAAAATGAAAAAAAAAGCTTCAAATTGAACCACAAAGTGCAAATATGAACATATAAAAGTATTCTTGAGATATATACAAGCAATACACAACTATTTACAAAAAAAGTAGGTATAGCCACTGGCCTTTACCCTATTTGTGCCACTCTTCAAAACAGTTCCTGTCCACAATGACACAGAGAGCCACATCACAGGCCTTGCACTTCCATGGTGTGACAAACCTCTTCTTGTCAACTTGTTTACAGCGTTGACAAACCCTGCGGCCTGCTGTGGCTTTGTCTTTGGCCTCTGCAACATTGGCAATGGCCACAGGAACATGGCTGGTGCTTTTTTGAAGTGGAACCCCTGTCTGGGTCACTCCGCACAGCTGGGCCACAAGTTCTGCCACAAAGTTCTTGTGCGTCATGGGTGTGACCTGTTGGGTCGCACTGATGTCACAGTGCAGGATGTATGCATTTGTTGTTCCCATGTCCAAAAAATGCAGGAAGAGGGTACGGTACCAGCGAGCAGTTCTGCGATGGGTTGAGTAATACTGGAGAAGCTGGTCTGACAGGTCAACCCCTCCCATGTACTTATTGTAGGCCATGATGGGGGTAGGGCAGGGAATGTCTTTTGCTACCCAGCGTCCAGGTCCTTCCTTCACCTTCCTCTTGATTGTCTCGCCCGAAAACGCTGGGTGGATTGTGGAGCACACCGACACCTCCCGCGTATCCATCCACTTCACAAAGACCAGGCGATCCTCTCTGATCCATCTCACAGACCCCCTCTTCGATTTGCTGGTGAGGGCATTTTCTCTGCCACTAGGACACCCTTTTCTGTTGCTTCTGTAGGTCCCACAGGCTCCAAACTTCATACTTCCCAAACTCAGGAACAGTTTTGGGCTGGTGTAGAAATTGTCCATATAAATATGGTATCCTGTACCAAGATGTGATGGCTGAATGAGGTCCATAACAGCATCATATGAAAGTCCATGCACGCTGGGTGTGTGTGCTTTCCCAACATACACGTTGAAGTTTAGAGTGTAGCCATTGTTAGACTCTGCCAACACAAAGAGCTTGATCCCCCATTTGTTAGGCTTGTCCTTCATGTACTGGGTCATGCCAGTTTTGGCTTTTGTAGCCACCATCCTCTCGTCGACTGACAGTTCCTTCTTAGGATGGTAATGAGCCTGGCAGGCAGTGCGAATGTCGTCCATCAGAGGTTTGACCCTGAACAGTTTGTCATGCTGGGGTGTACCTTTGCGCTGGTCATTTATGACATCCTCCTCTGGATCACTTAGGTGGATGTTCCATGAGATGGACCGGAATATGTCTCTTGGCATGACCTTCGCTGGCAATGAAACAGACAATATGTGGCTTTGTTTCCAGTAGTCCTGGATACTAGGCAGAGTCACCAATGAGGTGTAGATGAGGAGACCCAGAAATCTGTGCAGTTCCTCCACATCAACGTCAGTCCACTGATATTTGCTCCCCTTCTGCTGATTTCTTGCTGCCTGTTTGTTGGTGTTTCTGCAGATTGTCCTCATTGTATCTGCGGCGAAGTAGAGCAGGAAGAGGTCCTTTGGTGTGTGCCCTGAATGCAAATCCACCTGGGCTCCTGGTGGTCTGCGGGGCATGAACCTACTGGCTTGTGGGGCAGTGTCAGGATCAGTCTCTGTTTTCCATGGCTCAGAGCTCTGTTCTGGCTGTGCTGCTGACTGGGCTGGAGATCTTGACCTGGTCTTGGCCTGATCCTTCCTTCCACGCCCCCTCTGTGATGGCCTCCGTCGGCTTGTTGTGGGGGTGGGGGCTGTTGATGGCCCAGGCTGCTCGTCGTCGTCGTCGTCACTATACAAAACAGGTAAACGGATTCAAGATTATTCAAAGTTCAAGATGTTCATTGGCATTTGCACTACAGTGAAGTAGAATAGAATACTATAGTAAGATAAACGAAAGCAATAAAACAAATTCATTTTAGAAAAATGTTTGTCTTCTTACCTCACGTTTTCAGCAACAAAATCAGGGTCCTCGAAGTCATCCTGGCCACTCTCATTGTCTGACGACGAACTTTCCAAAGTTTCTTCATCGCTCATTTGGAATAACAAGTCGACGGCTTGTTCAACGTGAAGTGTGCGCCTCATATTGCTTCACAAAAACGATACTGCTGACAATAAAACTCTTGAAATACTAACAATTGAAATACTAACTCGTGAAAAACTCTCCAAAACTACTCATGAACTGAACTAATTCCTCTCGTTCGTTCTTTCGCAATGGCTAGTTGTCATGGGAATGAATGTTTATATACTCGTGTGCATCCTGAAGAACCGGGTTAGCACAAGCACACGTTTTTTTCCGTTCCTTTTTATCACAAAAGACGACAAAGTTATTATAATAAATGCAAAGCGCTCATAAAAGAGCGCATATTTTGACGCACTTTTTTCATGGAATTGAAATTATCATAACTTTGGTTTTAGTTGGTGTATTTACATGAAACAAACACTCAAAACGTAGCTTCGGGTCTCCATTTCTGCATGAAATCGACGGCAGCCCTCTGCGTCACTTGGTTTGGATGCTGCGCGGTCCTAAAGCCGGCCCGCGATTTGAACGCGCCGAAGCGTTCGCCGACTCGGAAGAGTTAAGTAATACTGCAAAAAATGTGGCAAAGCAATTTACTTTTTGTCCTGAATACGAAGTGTTATGTTTGGGGCAAATCCAATAAAACACATTACTGAGTACCACTCTCCATATTTTCAAGCATAGTGGTGGCTGCATCATGTTATGGGTATGCTTGTAATCGTTAAGGTTTGGGGAGTTTTTCAGGATAAAAAAAGAAACGGAATGGAGCTAAGCACAGGCAAAATCCTAGAGGAAAACCTGGTTCAGTCTGCTTTCCACCAAACAATGGGATATTAATTCACCTTTCAGCAGGACAATAGGCCAAATCTACACTGGAGTTGCTTACCAAGAAGACAATGAATGTTACTGAGTTGCCAAGTTACAGTTTTGACTTAAATCTACTTGAAAATCTATGGCAAGACCTGAAAATGGTTATCTAGCAATGATCAACAACCAATTTGACAGACAAAGAATTTGGAAAAGAATAATGGGCAAATGTTGCACAATCCAGGTGTGGAAAGCTCTTCAAGACTTACCCAGACAGACTCACAGCTGTAATCACTGCTAAAGGTGCTTCTACAAAGTATTGACTCAGGGGTGTGAATACTTACGTAAATTAGATATTTATATATTTCATTTTCAATACATTTGCTAACATTTCTAAAAACATGTTTTCACTTTGTCAATATGGGGTACTGTGTGTAGATGGGTGAGAAAAAATATCAAAATTAATCCATTTTGAATTCAGGCTGTAACACAACAAAATGTGGAATAAGTAAAGGGGTATGAATACTTTCTGAAGGCACTGTATATTAGGAGCAGCCCGAAGCTGATGTCTGAGAGAAATGGGGGAGGCTGAGGTGCTTGAGGTCAGAGCCAGAGGATCTGTTAGTGATGGAGAGGGGGATGAGGAGGAGAAGAGGCTCTTACTGGGTCCCTGAGTACACGTGTACTGGACATATTCACTAAAGAGATTACACACACACACACACACACACACACACACACACACACACACACACACACACAGAGAGAACACAAAAGGCTACCCTGCTTCTCCACAGTAGCCAACCTGTCTGTATAGCTGTGACTTCATCAATAAATGCATGAGGGGAAAGAATGGCAGTAACCTCAAGGTCAGAGTATAGAGTACTCAGGACCCAGACAGAGAGAGGGGGAAGAGACAGACAGTGGCTTGCTGTTCAATGATTAAAACCGCACAGCTGGTCAAATCTCCAATAGTCTGCACACCTGTCTGTCTGTCTGTCTGTCTGTCTGTCTGTCTGTCTGTCTGTCTGTCTGTCTGGGAGGAGCAGGAGTAAGGCTATCTGTCAAATAGGACTGGGGGCCTGGAGTTTTTCCTCAACATGTGACCTGAGCAGGAAAAACTCTGGGCCCTACTATAAACTAGGACCTAGACTCTTGGCCATCGACATGACCAACTGTATCACAGCCCAGTCACAAGGATTGACAACGCAATGCCTCATAAGAAAACACAGCATTACTTAACCCATAAGCCATAGGAGAAACATATATTGTTAATGATTGTGTTCATAACGAGCTCAGATATGATTACATAGCCCAGACTGACTGTACTAGGAAATACAAATAAAGAAGGATCATTATGAACATGACACTCACCCCATCGTGAACCAAAGCCTTCCACGTGTGCTCCAGTTTCTTTATTAACCTGGAGCCGGAAAGAGAAAAGAAACAACACTTAAAACGTTTGGTCTTAAAAATGTACTAACCCATAAGAGTCTAAGCCCTGTCTAAGCCGGGGGAGGGGTGGGGATACTACTAAGCTATATGGAACTGTTTTAAGAAGGTCATACCAAGGATCATATTGCTATTGCTATTTGATTTTGAATTTTAAGACTCCTTAAAGTATCAAAAAAATATATAAAAACAATTATTTGGCATTACTGATATTAGCCCATACAAACGCATTGAATAACAGATTCACTACATGGAACAACAGATAGTCCCCAAAAAACCATCTAAAGGAAGTTTGTTCTGAAGTGTCTGTCCTATATCTGAAAGATATAAGAAAGATCAGGAAACATTTGTTATTTTTTTGGACCCCTTATTTTTGTCACTAAACAGTCTCCATATATACCATACATTTTTTCAACTGATACCAGGAGACCTTAAGAAGAGTCTTGTGAGGCCTGTGGGCGTCCTAGAGCAAAACAACAAACATGTACACTACAAGTCAAAGGTTTGGACACACCTACTCATTCAAGGGTTTTTATATATTTTTTACATTTTTATTTTTACATGTAGAATAATAGTGAAGATATCAAAATTATGAAATAACACATATGGAATCATGTAGTAACCAAAAAAGTGTTTAACAAATAGCCATCCTTTGCCTTCATGACAGCTTTGCACACTCTTGGCATTCTCTCAACCAGCTTCATGAGGTAGTCACCTGGAATGCATTTCAATTAACAGGTGTGCCTTGTTAAAAGTTAATTTGTGGGATGTTTTTTCTTAATGCGTTTGAGCCATTCAGTTGTGTTGTGACAAGGTAAGGGGGGTATACAGAAGATAGCCCTATTTGGTAAAATACCAAGTCCATATTATGGCAAGAACAGCTCAAATAAGCAAAGAGAAACGACAGTCCATCATTACTTTAAGAATGAAGGTCAGTCAATACGGAACATTTCAAGAACTTTGAAAGTTTCTTCAAGTGCAGTCGCAAAAACCATCAAGCACTATGATGAAACTGGCTCTCATGAGGCCGACACAGGAATGGAAGACCCAGAGTTACCTCTTCTGCAGAGGATAAGTTCATTAGAGTTACCAGCCTCAGAAATTGCAGCCCAAATAAATGCTTCACAGAGTTCAAGTAACAGACACATCTCAACATCAACTGTTCAGAGGGGACTGTGTGAATCAGGCCTTCACGGTCGAAGGAGGAGGTGTTATGGTGTGGGGGTGCTTTGCTGGTGACACTGTCTGTGATTTATTTAGAATTCAAGGCACACTTAACCGCATGGCTACCACAGCACTCTGCAGCGATACGCCATCCCATCTGGATTGGGCTTAGTGGGACTATCATTTGTTTTTCAACAAGACAATGACCCAACACACCTCCAGGCAGTGTAAGGGCAATTTTACCAAGAAGGAGAGTAATGGAGTACTGCATCAGATGACCTGGCCTCCACAATCCCCCGACCTCAACCCAATTGAGATGGTTTGGGATGAGTCGGACAGCAGAGTGAAGGAAAAGCAGCCAACAAGTGCTCAACATATGTGGGAACTCCTTCAAGACTGTTGGAAAAGCATTCCAGGTGAAGCTGGTTGAGAGAATGCCAATAGTGTGCAAAGCTGCCATCAAGGCAAAGGGTGGCTATTTGAAGAATCTCAAATATAAAATATATTTTGATTTGTTTGACATGATTACTACATGATTCCATTTGTGTTATTTCATAGTTTTGATGTCTTCACTATTATTCTACAATGTAAAAAATAGTACAAATAAAGAAAAACCCTTGAATGAGTAGGTGTCCAAACTTTTGGCTGGTACTGTACGTGTTCGTGAGAGTCTCACCTTTCCATAGAGGGATAATAGTTTGTAGGACAAACCGTTCGGACGCTACAGACGATTTTGTGACAAGACTGATTTTCAGGATTTCTCATGGTCTGACAAACATCGCTCTAGCTGTCACCTTTCACCGCAGATGCGGAAGTGTTACATAGGTGGATGCGGTGGATTAAAACGCATCCAATGCAAAAATATATCTCTAGCTTAAACTAACAGATTTTTATGGGGATGTTTTTATTATGCTAATTCGATTTTCACGGGGAGCGGACATCGACCTTATGGGGTTAAGGTCACAGAGACAAATATAAACAGCGTCAGCCAGCCACACTACAGGCTGTTGTTATATACGCTGTTGGAGGCTGAATATTTTGTTATCTTATGATGCTGGGGGGCTGATTCTACAAGACAGAGAGTGACTGAATTAGTTATAATATAGTTACCTGGGTCACATTTATTAGGCACCAAAGACACAAAAATTGACTGCTACAGAGAGGGACTACCTGAACTTGTCCAATAAGAAACGTTAGTTTTCGTTTCCGTTCCAAAACGTTTTGCTTCAGTGTGCCCTAATGAACACGATTCTGTATGATTTATATGATATTTGTGATTACCTGTAGGATTGCAGGATGTCGATGATTCCGATGTAGAGGAGTAGACGCTCTCCTTTCCCGTTGACTGCTGGGATGCCTCCCATCCTACAGAGACAAACATGAAGAGATAGTGATATACAAAGAGTGACACTGACAAACAGAGAGAGGATAGAGAGAGCTACAAGGAGACAGCTAACAACACCCAAACACCCCAGCCTGTCACGTGTCAGTCACTCACGTGTCGTCAGTGTCGATAGACTCTCCACAGGCAGCCCCTCCCTGGATGGACTCCATGGCGGTGGAGTAGAGGGCCTTCTGGGCCACGGGCCTCTTCTCATCCTTCTCTCCTCCCTCCATCTGCTGCTCCCGCTCTGCCTGGTCGATGTTATGGACCCCCAGGAGCAAGCTGTAGTCCATGATCTTAAAGCTCTCCAGCACCTGGAAATAGACACAGAGATACAGGTTTCAGTTATAGGACTGAGCCAGGCCTATCAACCCTATGATTGGTCCACATGTCAAATGGGGTCCTTCTCAATGATTTTTTCTATTACAAATGGGGGAATTAAAAACTTAACCTGTACTGCAGCGTAGTATAAAACATTTGCTTCACAGTGGATGTAACTGCACAGTCAGAGGCATATTTCAGAAATGTATTAATTAATAATTTGCTGCTCGACGTCAAAGGAGTTTGTCATATTAACAATGTATAATGCCTTGCAAAAGTACTCATCCCCCTTCGCGTTTTTCCTATTTTGTTGCATTACAACCTGTAATTTAAATTTATTTTTATTTGGATTTCATGTAATGGACATACACAAAATAGTTCAAATTGGTGAAGTGAAATGAAAAAAATAACTTGTTTCAAAAAATTCTAAAAAATAAATAACTGAAAAGTGGTGAGTGCATATGTATTCACCCCCTTTGCTATGAAGCCCCTAAATAAGATCTGGTGCAACCAATTACCTTCAGAAGTCACATAATTAGTTAAATAATGTCCACCTGTGTGCAATCTAAGTGTCACAAGATCTGTCACATGATCTCAGTGTATATATACCTGTTCTGAAAGGCCCCAGAGTCTGCAACACCACTAAGCAAGGGGCACCACCAAGCAAGTGGCACCATGAAGACCAAGGAGCTCTCCAAACAGGTCAGGGACAAAGTTGTGGAGAAGTACAGATAAGGGTTGGGTTATAAAAAAATATCAGAAACTTTGAACATCCCACGGAGCACCATTAAATCCATTATTAAAAAATTGAAAGAATATAGCACCACAACAAACCTGCCAAGAGAGGGCCGCCCACCAAAACTCACAGACAAGGCAAGGAGGGCATTAATAGGCCTCCTGTAGCTCAGATGGTAGAGCATGGCGCTTGCAACGCCAGGGTTGTGGGTTCGATTCCCACGGGGGGCCAGTATGAAAAATGTATGCACTCACTAACTGTAAGTCGCTCTGGATAAGAGCGTCTGCTAAATGACTCAAATGTAAAAATGTAAATGAATCAGAGGCAACAAAGAGACCAAAGATAACCCTGAAGGAGCTGCAAAGCTCTACAGTGGAGATTGGAGTATCTGTCCATATAACCATTTTAAGCCGTACACTCCACAGAGCTGGGCTTTACGGAAGAGTGGCCAGAAAAAAGCCATTGCTTAAAGAAAAAAATAAGCAAACACGTTTGGTGTACACCAAAAGCCATGTGGGAGACTCCCCAAACATATGGAAGAAGGTACTCTGTTCAGATGAGACTAAAATTGAGCTTTTTGGCCATCAAGGAAAACGCTATGTCTGGCGCAAACCCAACACCTCTCATCACCCCAATAACACCATCCCCACAGTGAAGCATGGTGGTGGCAGCATCATGCTGTGGGGATGTTTTTCATCGGCAGGGACTGGGAAACTGGTCAGAATTGAAGGAATGATGGATGGCGCTAAATACAGGGAAATTCTTGAGGGAAACCTGTTTCAGTCTTCCAGAGGTTTGAGACTGGGAAGGAGGTTCACCTTCCAGCAGGACAATGACTAAGCATACTGCTAAAGCAACACTTGAGCGGTTTAAGGAGATACATTTAAATGTCTTGGAATGGCCTAGTCAAAGCCCAGACCTCAATCCAATTGAGAATCTGTGGTATGACTTAAAGATTGCGGAACCCATCCAACTTGAAGGAGCTGGAGCAGTTTTGCCTTGAAGAATGGGCAAAAATCCCAGTGGCTAGATGTGCCAAGCTTATAGAGACATACCCCAAGAGACTTGCAGCTGTAATTGCTGCAAAAGGTGGCTCTACAAAGTATTGGCTTGGGGGGGGGGGGGGGGGGGGCTTTTGAAAAAGTAACTTTTTTGTGCCCTCAACTGTAGATGTTTAAAGTTTAAAATTATGTAAATGTGTAATTTAAACCCTGATAGCAATGGGTCCTCATTATACCCTGATGAAGACAGCTTGTCTGTCGAAACGTTGGTTATTAGGTTATTAAATTATTGCATCTGAGCTCCTAGAGTGTGCAGCTCTCCTTTTCTTTTTCAAGCAATGGGTCCTAAACCTGGATCGTTTTCCTCACCAGACAGTCTCTCTGCAGGGTCTTGACCAGAGCGCTGTACATATCCTGGTCCAGCATCAGGCCGTCCTGCAGATCCTGCATGAAGTCCAGGTCTTTGAAGGTGGGCTTGGCCTTCTGTCTCTCCTTCTTGGAGGCACAGCGTTTGTATGTGGAGCCCTTTAGGTCGAACTTGAGGTGCATGCGGACGGCACGCGGTAGAACGTTGTTCATGACCACCATGCGGATGTTCTTACCGCCAGACTGGATGCAGTACAGGCCGAAGAATTTGGGGAGCAGGGTGCGAGGGTTCTGGTTGAGGTTCTGGAGAGAGGGAGGAAGAGAGAGAGAGAGAGAAAGATGCAGTAAGAAAAAGACCAACAGCATCAAGAGAGGACCAAGAGCACAGGATAGTATTGGAGCAAACAGTCCATGATTTGGTACCTTTCATTTTAACCCTGGTAATTAGGTAATCTGCCATTTTAAATAGATGTGCCTGAAATGTTTGTCAGGGGGATGTATTTTAAGCTAGGTGAGCCACGGTTTTAAGCTGCCAATGTATTTATGGTTTTAACTTGATCTGGAAAGGCCGTTTAAAAAATAAATACAATACTTTTGAACAGTTTTTTTATCTCAGTCTTTGTTTTTAAGCCTTTTTAAAGGGATACTTAGAGATTTTGACAATGAGGCCCTTTATCTACTTCCCCAGAGTCAGACGAACTCATGGATACAAATGTTATGTCTCTGTGTCCAATATCAAGGAATTTAGTCATTGCGCTAACGCTAGTTACCAATTGCGCTAGGGCTAGTTAGCAACTTCCTTCAAACTGCACGCAGAGACATAGAAATGGTATCCAAAAGTTCATCTGACTCTGGTGAAGTAGACAAAGGGCCTCATTGCCAAAATACTGAAGTGTCCCTTTAGGTGATAGAGTAAGGCCAGCGCCGTCACAGTACCACATGATTCCTCAAGACCAAACTAACCTCAGCCCTTCAAAATATTCACAACACAAGAGTAGCCAAAAAAGACGGGAAACAGTAACCCAAAGCATGAGACATTTAAACAAATCTAATTCACTATTTAGTAAAACTCTCCCCTTATCATCACTCTGTCCCTTTAAATATTTAAGTACTCAACCCAAATAAATGAGGTTAGCCAAGCTACACACGTTCCAAAAACATTAAAAGTAATGACAGACTCCCATTAAAGTTATGACAGAGGAGCCAGCTTCTTATCCACTCAAAGACTGCTACTCCTGGCAGACACAGAGAGAGCGAGAGAGAGAGAGAGAGAGAGAGAGAGAGGAGGGAGGGAGGGAGGGAGGGAGGGAGGGGTGGGGAGAGACAGACAGGGGAATGAGGGGGCCGGAGGGGTCACAGGGCTCCAACAGCAGGCAGTAAGGCCTTCAGACTTTTAGGCCACAGCCAGTGATCTCCACAAGAGAGAGACAGACTGGGGCATGAGATAGAGAGAGCGAGGGAGAGAAACAGAGGGAGAGAGAGTGAGTGAATCCCCATCAACCAGCCACACATGCCCCCTCTGTCCATGAGTGGAGGGCACAGCACTGAAAAGTCAACAAGAGAGAGACGTGACAGAGAAAGCAGGGGGGGAAAGAGTGGGATAGAGAGAGAGAGAACGAGATGTGAGAAGGTGAGAGAGAGTGAGAGCAAGTGAAAGCGTGACAGAGAATCGAGCCTGGCATGGGTAAATAGAAAAGTATGGGGAAAACAGGCATGGAGAATGATGCCATGAGAGAGTGGAAAACAAGTGTGAGGGGGTGGCACTGACGTCTGTTACATCACCATGTTTTACATTATGCCCCCAGCCCAACCCAGTCCTGTCAACTGCAGCAGACGTGTAGAGCTGTTCTACTGCCTCTCTCTGTGTGTGTGTATGTGCCTGCCTGCCTGTCCCCACTGTTTGTCTCAGTCTCAGTCTTAGTCTCAGTCTGCTATGGCCTCAGGCCACAGTGAACCAGCATGGCTCAGAATCCCTCTGGGCTCATTAACTCGCACACCTAACAACCATTGGAATCGTGTAACTGCAATTGCCTGGAGCCAAAATGGTGGAAAAGGTCAGAGTAAATGTCTTCCTGTTGTCATGTACTAATGCTTCCGGGCATTTCCCTTCAAACATGGGTAAATTCCTGCTCTGTTGCCGTGCCTGTTGGTACATGAATATACACAAGCTTAGCCCCACTAAAAATAGAAATCTAAAATAGAAACATGGACCTACACTAGTACCTGGTCGGACCCCCCTTTGCCTCCAGAACAGCCTGAATTCTTCGGGGCATGGAAACGTTGCTCAATTGGTATCAAGGGACCGAACGTGCACCAGGAAACATTCCCCACACCATTACACCACCAGCCTGTACCGTTGACACCAGGCAGGATGGGGCCATGGACTCATGCTGTTTACGCCAAATCCTGACTCTGTCATCAGTATGACGCAACAGGAACCGGGATTCGTCAGGCAATGTTATTCCACCTCAATTGTCCAGTGGAGCCGCTTCTTGTTTTTAGCTGATAGGAGTGGAACCCGGCGTGGTCGTCTGCTGCAATAGCCCATCCGTGACAAAGACCGACGAGTTGTGCGCTCTGAGATGCCGTTCTGCACACCACTGTTGTACTGCGCAGTTATTTACCTGTTTGTGGACCCCCTGTTAGCTTGCACAATTCTTGCCATTCTCCTTCGACCTCTCATCAACGAGCTGTTTTCGCCCACAGGACTGCCGCTGACTGGATGTTTTTTGTTTGTCGCACCATTCTCTGTAAACCATAGAAACTTGTGTGTGAAAATCCCAGGAGGCTGACCATTTCTGAGATACTGGAACCGGCGCGCCTGGCACCGACGATCATTCCATGCTCAAAGTTGCTTAGGTCACTCGTTTTGCCCATTCTAACATTCAATCGAATAGTAACTGAATGCCTTGATGCCTGTCTGCCTGCTTTATATAGCAAGCCATGGCCACTTGACTCACTGTCTGTAGGAGCTAACCATTTTTGTGAACGGGATGGTGTACCTAATAAACTGAGCTGTTGCTGTTTAACTAGCCTTCTAGTAAAGTGTGACCAGCATGGTGATCCCAGGCTCAACAACACCCTGCTTCTGTTACACAGTGACCAGGACCTCCCTAGGCTAGGTGCCCTGCAGTTACCTGCAGTCTAGACAACACTAGTGAATGTACCAAGGTGTAAAGCAGCTAGGCAGAGTTGTTTGGGCTTGGAGCAATGAAGTGTGTAAGGATGGGATCAGCAAAACATGGGATTGATGTTCTTTCATGTTCCTTCATGTTCCTTCCAGGAACTTGCAATTCATCAGGAAAGATTGCCTCTCGTGTGTAGTATGTGAGTGAGTGGAATGATGCAGAGTATGTGTGTGCGTGTGTGTCTTGTGAGTGTGTGGGGTCATATCTCACCATGTAGTAGCCAGGCAGCAGCTTCTGTAGAAACTCGGCCTCCTTGTGCATGACGGTCTTGATGATGAACTCATCGTCCTTGGTCAGGTAGAACACAGAGCCACTGGCCCCGGGGTTGGACAGCTCGATCAGGGGCTCGTTACACAGGGAGTACTGCAGACACAAACACACACACACTTTGACTGCACTATTATGGCATATCGAAACACACACAAGGACATGCATGTATCCTACTCGACAAGTATACATACACAGAGAGACATGTCACACGTGCACACACACACTAATCAGAGGTATGTGTGTGTTTGGAGCTTCTAGACTGCTGACCACTCAGGGAGGAGCGGTGACTCACCCTGCCTCCTCCTCAACCTAACCTCTCCCCCAGACTTCATCTGGCCCTAACCATCTCTACCCAGCCCTTGTATACCTTTCCCCCTCTCCTCAACCCAACCCAACCCTTCTCTGGCCCTCCCCAGCCATCCTCCTCTCTGCATACTGTTTCTCCTCTCACCCTCCCTATTCTATCCTTCTTCCTGCCTAATATCCCTATTCATCCACACAGTATTTCTTTACCCATCTCTCCCTCTCCCAAAATCTCCTGATTGTCTCCAACCCTCCCTATTTCTCCATGTCCCTCCCTGTCTCTCCCTGTCTCTCCGATTTATTTCCCAGGTCTCTCTCCGGTGGGCTGGGGTGGCTGCCTGGTTGGTGGGGAGATCACAACTCCCAGTCAGGGTGCTACCGAGCAGGCTTGTGCTGTCACTGATGGCAGCAGGCTGGACTGAGAGGGAGGGAGTGGGCAGCAAGCTGTGGGTGTGTGGGCCTCACACACACTGACAAAAGACAGAGATACACTGGTCAAATTGGGTAAAAGCACTGAAAAAATACAATTAAAATGATAAAAATGTCACGCTTTGAAACAAAAAAGATCACTTTGGGGGTTAGATATTCAATCCCTCCAAAAAGCAGGAATTAAATTTTTTCCAGAAAAAACAATAGTTTCCACAATCCATCACTCTGAAATGTACAGCCTGTTTAAATCATTCCTTCTTGCAGGCGCATCCCAATCAGACAGTACGGGGAACAGGGGATGGACGAGGGGAGGGGAGGATGAGACAGAGAGAGGGAGAGAGAAAGAGGGGGAGAGGGGAAAAGAGAAAGAAATAAAGATAGAGGGGAGAGTGAGACTGAAGATACAGATAGAGATGATGAATGTCGTTGAAGAGAAGCGAGTCATCACCACCTTCGGGCAGAAACACCTCTTCAAGAAACCTGGATACTAAAGTATTCCTCGAAAACCAAACCCCATCCCACCCCCAATGAAATGGTACCACTGCTATAGTTGAACGCACCAATTTGTGAGTCGCTCTGCTAAGACGTCGGCTAACATGCGTTAATGTGCCCGGGGAAGGACTTAAACCCAATTGCCCGTAAGTGGGCGGTTAAGAGCGTGTAATGACAAAGATGTAATGAATAAGAGAGAGAGAGAGTGAGAGAGAAAGAGAGGTGAGAGAGAGAGAGGAAAGAGGATGAGAGGAGAGAGAGAGACGAGAGAGAGAGAGAGAGAGAGGAGCAGAGAGAAGAGGATCCAGACGAGGGGAGAGTTGAGAGAGACGAGAGAGAAGAGTGCGTGGGCGAGAGTAGACTCGAGAAGAGGACAGACGAGAGAAGAGAGAGTACTAGTCAGAGAGAGAGAGAGAGAGAGAGAGGAGGAGAGGAGAGAAGGAGAGAGGGAGAGAGGAGAGGAGAGGGAGAGAGAGAGGAGAGGAGAGAGAGAGGAGAGAGACAGGCAGGAAGGAAGGAAGGAAGGGAGAGCAAGACCCTGAGTGCAGAGAGCTCGAGCTCCAGGCACTGTGATTAATCACTGAGGCAGGAACACTGCACACACACACACACACACGCAGACCCTCAGAGAGATACAGACACCTAATACACACAGGAGCATGACAGCAGCCTAAAAACACAGGCAGTTGCATAATCATATCCTCTAGAAGACAGGAGGGGCATGTTCACAGACGAACACACACAGCCAGTCAGGCAACACTGATACAATGTGACAAGGGCCATGAGGGGTGAGGTGTGCGTGTCACACACACACTTTGACTGCACTATTATGGCATATCGAAACACACACAAGGACATGCATGTATCCTACTCTACAAGTAGAGAGAAAGAGAGTGTGTGAGAGAGAGAGAGAGAGAGAGAGAGAGAGAGAGAGAGAGAGAGACATGTCACACGTGCACTCAACCCAACCCTTCTCTGGCCCTCCCCAGCCATCCTCCTCTCTGCATACTGTTTCTCCTCTCACCCTCCCTATTCTATCCTTCTTCCTGCCTAATATCCCTATTCATCCACACAGTATTTCTTTACCCATCTCTCCCTCTCCCAAAATCTCCTGATTGTCTCCAACCCTCCCTGTCCCTCCCTGTCCCTCCCTGTCTCTCCATGTCCCTCCCTGTCTCTCCATGTCCCTCCCTGTCTCTCCATGTCCCTCCCTGTCTCTCCATGTCCCTCCCTGTCTCTCCATGTCCCTCCCTGTCTCTCCCTGTCCCTCCCTGTCTCTCTCTGTCTCTTCAATGTCCCTCCCTGTCTCTCACTGTCTCTCCCTGTCTCTCCCTGTCTCTCTCTGTCTCTTCAATGTCCCTCCCTGTCTCTCACTGTCTCTCCATGTCTATCCATGTCTCTCCATGTCCCTCCCTGTCTCTTCCTGTCCCTCCCTGTCCCTCCCTGTCTCTCTCTGTCTCTTCAATGTCCCTCCCTGTCTCTCACTGTCTCTCCCTGTCTCTCCATGTCTCTCCATGTCCCTCCCTGTCTCTCCCTGTCCCTCCCTGTCTCTCCATGTCCCTCCCTGTCCCTCCATGTCCCTCCCTGTCTCTCCCTGTCTCTCCCTGTCTCTCCTGATTATTTTCCCAGTCTCTCTCCAGGTGTGCCTGGGTGGCTGCCTGTCTGGTGGGGGAGATCACACTCCCAGTCAGGGTGCTACAGAGCCGGCTGTGCTGCTCACTGATGGCAGCAGGCTGGACTGAGAGGGAGGGAGTGGGCAGCAAGCTGTGGGAGTATGGGCCAAGGCTCAAGACCAGGACACTGCAGGTGGACTGGACACCAAGCCTTATGCCTCTGTCTCTCTATACAGGGAACCTCTGAACAGCTTTTGTACAGTGAGCTGCTTCAGTGGGATCAGGAATTGGTGCACTAGCCATCCTAAAACCATTCCACAACATTGGCCTATCAAATGACTGCTCGTCTGTTCATTCTAGTCATCTAATACGTTGACGTCATGCAATGTCTTCATGTCTGTTGTCATGGTTGAAAAAGGGTAGATTTCCATGTTCTTACCAGGTAGTCATCAGGCCTGATCCCAAAGAGCTCCCTGAAGTAGCGGAAGGCCACAGGAGCGTACGTCTTAAAGCGGAAGTCTGGGAAGTGGTGGGCTGGAGTCAGGTTGCTGCCTTCACTGGAAGGGGGAGAAGGGGAGAAAAGCTTTTAGATACGGGACAACTATGTATGAACTAAGGGACTATTCTAGTGTAAATATATGAATTGCTTTCAATCAAAATAACATATCCAGGATCAGGGATGTGATCGGTCCCAATTCTCTGATATCTTGAAAGGCCTGGATGACATGACTGTCTCGTTCTAATGATTTCACAAAGTTATGTGCTGCCCTGATGGTGTGGTTAGCAGTTAACTACTGCTGTACACACCTTTTACAGCGAGGGAAGAAAGTATTTGATCCCCTGCTGATTTTGTACGTTTGCCCACTGATCAGTCTATAATTTTAATGGTAGGTTTATTTGAACAGTGAGAGACAGAATAACAACAAAATAATCCAGAAAAACGCATGTCACAAATGTTATAAATTGATTTGCATTTTAAATGAGGGAAATAAGTATTTGACCCCTCTGCAAAACATGACTTAGTACTTGGTGTCAAAACCCTTGTTGGCAATCACAGAGGTCAGACGTTTCTTGTAGTTGGCCACCAGGTTTGCACACATCTCAGGAGGGATTTTGTCCCACTCCTCTTTGCAGATCTTCTCCAAGTCATTAAGGTTTTGAGGCTGACGTTTGGCAACTCGAACCTTCAGCTCCCTCCACAGATTTTCTATGGGATTAAGGTCTGGAGACTGGCTAGGCCACTCCAGGACCTTAATGTGCTTCCTCTTGAGCCACTCCTTTGTTGCCTTGGCCGTGTCAAATACTTATTTCCCTCATTAAAATGCAAATCAATTTATAACATTTTTGACATGCGTTTTTCTGGATTTTTTTGTTGTTATTCTGTCTCTCACTGTTCAAATAAACCTACCATTAAAATTATAGACTGTTCATTTTTGACTAGGCCATTCCAAGACATTGCAATGTTTCCCCTTAAACCACTCGAGTGTTGCTTTAGCAGTATGCTTAGGGTCATTGTCCTGCTGGAAGGTGAACCTCCGTCCCAGTCTCAAATCTCTGGAAGACTGAAAACAGGTTTCCCTCAAGAATTTCCCTATATTTAGCGCTATCCATCATTCCTTCAATTCTGACCAGTTTCCCAGTCCCTGCCGATGAAAAACATCCCCACAGCATGATGCTGCCACCACCATGCTTCACTGTGGGGTGATGAGACGTGTTGGGTTTGCGCCAGAAATAGCGTTTTCCTTGATGGCCAAAAAGCTCAATTTTAGTCTCCATATGCTTAGGGAGTCTCCCACATGGCTTTTGGCGAACACCAAACGTGTTTGCTTATTTTTTTCTTTAAGCAATGGCTTTTTTCTGGCCATCTTCCGTAAAGCCCAGCTCTGTGGAGTGTATGGCTTAAAGTGGTCCTATGGACAGATACTCCAATCTCCGCTGTGGAGCTTTGCAGCTCCTTCAGGGTTATCTTTGGTCTCTTTGTTGCCTCTCTGATTAATGCCCTCCTTGCCTGGTCTATGAGTTTTGGTGGGCGGCCCTCTCTTGGCAGGTTTGTTGTGGTGCCATATTCTTTAAATTTTTTAATAATGGATTTACTGGTGCTCCGTGGGATGTTCAAAGTTTCAGATATTTTTTTATAACCAAACCCTGATCTGTACTTCTCCACAACGACCTGTTTGGAGAGCTCCTTGGTCTTCATGGTGCCGCTTGCTTGGTGGTGCCCCTTGCTTAGTGGTGTTGCAGACTCTGGGGCATTTCAGAACAGGTGTATATATACTGAGATCATGTGACAGATCATGTGACACTTAGATTGCACACAGGTGGACTTTATTTAACTAATTATGTGAATTCTGAAGGTAATTGGTTGCACCAGATCGTATTTAGGGGCTTCATAGCATAGGGAAATAATACATATGCACGCACCTCTTTCCGTTATTTATTTTTTAGAATTTTTTGAAACAAGTAATTTTTTTCATTTCACTTCACCAATTTGGACTATCTTGTTTATGTCCATTACATGAAATCCAAATAGAAATCCATTTAAATTACAAGTTGTAATGCAACAAAATAGGAAAAACGCCAAGGGGGATGAATACTTTTGCAAGGCACTGTATACTGTCCATACAGTCAATACACACCATTCACATACACTACCAGTCAAAAGTTTGGGCACACCTACTCATTCAAGGGTTTTTCTTTATTTTAAAAATGTTTTACATTGTAGAATAATAGTGAAGCATTTCACTGCACTGGCGATAACATCTGCAAAACTGTGTACGCGATCAATAAACTTTGATTTGATCTGATTTGATTTAGTTACCTGGGAAAGAAGATGCTCTCAACCACATAGAAGTCCTGCATGAGAACGTCTCTCTCAGGCTTGGAGCTCAGGTTGCCCACCGTGTAGCCAATGCCCAGCTGGATGGCACCTTTCAAGGCAGAGGACGTGGTCTGGGGGGAGAGGAGACAGACGGTGGGGGTTAGGGGAGATATTTAAACATTTCTGAGCTTGGTGGACTGCAAATCATTTATATTAATTGAGAAATCTTCTGATTTAACAGCTCCATTAGTTCAGCTAATGAGGGGACTGTACTCTACAATGAAGAGCCAAAACATTGACTCGCTCAACCATGCACACCAGAATACATATACTCTAAAGTGCTAAAGACAGACAGACAGACAGACAGGGTTGTTAAATCAGGTCTCAGTAGATCTCCATCAGGTTGGTTCTCAGTGAGACAAACTGGGTCTGCTCTGGTGTGTCTTTCTGTCTTCTCACATTAGTATAAGTGGAACAGGCAGCAGGTAGCCTAGCGCTTAAGAGCGCTGGGACAATAACCAAAAGGTTGCTGGTTCGAATCCCTGAGTCGACAAGGTGACAAATGTACCCTTGAGCAAGGCACTTAACCCTAATTGTTCTTGTAAGTCAGACTCTGGATAAGAGCGTCTGTTAAATGACTAAAATGTAAATGTAAACATACAGTGTGCAGGTTACAGAGCTATGTGTCTGCTCACAGCTGTAGCCTAATTATGCATTCAGGACCATTACCAGGTTAGTTTTCTTGTGCCAATGTCTTGGCTTGCTTGCTCTAGAGGGGGGTTGACTGTTGTGCTGTAAGGCATTTCAAGGCGCAGGCACTATATGTTATTACTATGTAATTGATTGACTAATTGAATCAGGGGGAGCTAGTGCCTGCTGCCTACCTTCTTGTAGGTGGTCTCTCCGGACGCATCCACTCCCCTGTGGCCCATCCTCTTAACCTGGCCTGGTAGGCCTGAGACACCAGGCAGCTGTTGGCCAGAGGATGGAGCAGAGTGATTAAGACACAGATTTACATTTTTACTCACTTCATTGGGCTGAAAACACTAACACCACCTGATGCCCAGCTATGGGCCAGGTTGATCAAGCGTTTGCAGCACCTGTGTGAAGTTTTCACCTGTTCTTTTCAATAGGGAATAACACATAAAAGCAGGAATGAAAGGTAAACTGAATATCAATAGAAGAACGGAGTCAGTTTCATGTTTTTTTTTTGCTTTGATTTCTTTTGTCTTGTATTCCCCTGTGATAATTACAGGTGCAAACTCGACACAGGTGCGAACGCTTAGTAAATCTGGCACTAAAAAGCCTTCTGAGTGGACTGAGTATCCCCTTTACGCCCATTTCTCTAACCTCTAAACTGTCCCAGATTACACAGTCAAATTGACAGTGGGCACTTCTCATCACAGGGCAGAGTGTAAGATGGAAGGGGCTTTATAACACAGCATATGATCGTGGCAGTCCCTATGAAGATTCCCACACTGCCCGCGAGCATACTGAAGCCTCTATATGGAGTGTAGTAGTAGAGAGATCACACAGCATAAGGATTGAAATGCAGGCAGGGGGATCAAAGTAGCGCGCCATTGTGTGTGTAGCAGAACACATACAGTAGGAGAGGGGTTTAAATAGAGGACATGTCAGTCAGATGTATTTCACAGTCATATGGCTAAATAAAAGTTAAGGAAGTGAGTACATTACCTCTGTGATGTGTGCTTTTCTAGCAGAAAAATCTGAGAGAGAGAGAGAGCATTAGACCTATGAGGGATTCCATTAGTTCAAATAATTAGTGTTAGAAGGAACAAAGAGAAATCCCATAGGGTACACATTATGTAATAACAGTGTCAAATAACAATGGGGGGCAGGTAGTGGAAGGAACGGTTACCAAATCAATATACCATCCCTATTCTTCCTGGTAGTCAATACCATCCATCCCCAGTCTAGCATTTCTAGTATTCCATAAAGCCATGTGATGTGAAAACAGAGCAATGTAAACAACAAAGGAAGTAATCAGTGAGCTCTGATGTCCTGTTCTCTTCAGCCAGACTCAAATAGATCCATAATTGTAGCTAATTTCTCCACTCACTTAGAATAATGAAGGAGTAGACTAAGAGGGGAGCTTACATAGCACAACACACTGCTACTGGGATGATTGAACATCAGATGCCAGGGGGCTGAGTCATTTAAAACTGACCAACATTGTTATTATTAGGCTTGTCTATTTATAAAATGATTAACACAGACAGTAAATATGCAATTGGAATGACCTATAAAAATACATTTTGAATGAGAATGTGTTATACACCAGCTGTGCAAAGGGAGTAGGCTATGTGATGACAGAAGGATGTGAAGGGGAGAAGCTGTATGTTCTATGAATTAGTGTTTTTCTCCTTCAAGCTGCAGTGCTAAAGCCTGCCTGCCACCAGTGGATGCAGGTTAGCGTTCATTGTCATGAATCTTGCCCTGGAGGCAGCTCTGCAGATTGGTCACTAGCTGGAACAGCCACAAAGTCATAAAATCTGATTTTAAACCTAACATTAACCACACTGCTAACCCTAATGCCTAACCCTAACCTTAAATTAAGACCAAAAATCAAAATTGTTGTTTTCATGAATGTTTTTACAATATAGCCAATTCTGACTTTGCAGCTGGCCCATCTAGTGGAAATCACTCAGTTCTCTCTCCAGGGCAAGATTCATGACAATAAATGTCAACCTGCCCAGTGCAGGCCCATGCGATTGAGCTCGAGAAAAGCCAGTTCGCCACCCCTCCTCCCTCCCCTCCCTCTCCTCTCCTCCAGCTCTCTCCCTCTCACTCGCTCCCTCTGTCACACACAGATTTGCTGAGGGTAGAGCAAGCCAAAACGTGCCGATGCAAAAAATGAGTGAGTTAATAAAGTCGCATACAAACATGTCTTTTTTTTGCTTTCTTGAGTAAGGCCTCTGGCCTCTTTCTAGAGCTTTGACCTGAAGATCACTGATGTCATGATTCACTCTTGTTTTTTTCAGAGTTCCCAGTTGTCTTGAAAGCACCACAAATCCAGAAAATGCCATTGTCATGACTGTCCTGTGAGGATCTAATGGATCAGCTTGGCAATGGTTGACAGTAACCAGGCCACTCTCACCCACAGAAGAGGGGAGGAGGGGACTGAGCCGGTTTGACAGCTCACACCCTGTCGTAAATTAAAGGAGAGGAGATCTAGGGTCTCCCTCTCCAGTATTAACCAAAGGAATGTTCTTTGTCTCCAGAGACTTTTTCCGCACAAAACTAAACAATATTTCTAAGATAAGAATGTGGGGAATGGTCAGTGGGGACCTAAAGAATAATAATGTCATATTGTTTATTATTTTGTGATGTCATTAAGAATGGTATCAAGAAAATACTGTAACTTGGAAAGTATATCCCCTTTATTTGTCAAGTTTTCATCCAATAAATTGTGTATTTAATATGAAAAATTATGAAAGTATCTTTGTTAAGATAGGAATGTGATTTTAGTTTTCTAATGAGATAATTGTTTTTCATATAAGCTTTGCACAGTAACTAGCCACGCCCCGAGTGAGCTCAGAGAGCGTGTCAGCATGACGGAACGTGTATAAAAGGATAGGTTAAGAATTAACATATCAGACCAGAAAGACGTAAGGCAGTTGCTACACGTCTGAAAATGGTTGGAACGTTGAACCTCAACACGAGGTGAAGAAGATCACCTCCCAGACTAGACCCAAACATTGCCAGGATGCAGCTGTGCGTGTAAAGTGGTTCAAACTCTGACTAACCACACGAGGTGGAGAGGAGAAAACTCTCCTCTCAGACAATCACTGGTACAGCTAAGTAGTTGTTCTGATGAAACACTCCACTACAAACCAGGACAACTAAGAAGAAGGACATTGTGACCTCTTGTGGACAATCAGAGCCTTACAAGTGAGCTGAGTGAAGACTCAGCCAAAAAAAACTTTCCCAGAGGGCTTGGGTGCGACAGAGATAGACGACGAACAAAGGCATCCACACGTAAATACATTCATGATTTCTTACTCCAAACGGGCGGTGGTTCATGTGCAAAGTATTATAATTACTTTGAGAGTGGTTTCCAAATGTATCAACGATAAGTGTCTCTTTCTCTTTGTTAGAAACGGCGACAGTGAAATGCGGTAGGCGAAGTCACACGCAGGACACGGAGCTACTGGAAATCGTACTTTAATAAAAGTCGGCAGTGAAAATGAACAGTCTCCAAACAACGGAGAAAACGAACAACCGGTACACTGTCGATGACACAAAACAATAACACACAACACACAATGCACGACAGAGGGTTAAATAGGGAATACAATACAACATAATGGGGAACAGGTGTACACAATCAGACACAACAAGTCAAACACCGAAACATAGATCGGTGGCAGCTAGTACTCTGGGGACGACGAACGCCGAAGCCTGCCCGAGCAGGGAGGAGGAGCAGCCTCGGCTGAATCCGTGACACTCTTTGTCTATCTCTCTCTCGCTCTCTCTACCCCTCCCTCTTTTGGTAAACAAGCAGTCATGTTGTTGTTAGTCCGCTAGGGACTTTTTCTCATGTATTAAGTGTGTATGTTAATTCTGTGTTATTATTTAGTTAACTAGTAAATAAATAATTAAACCAATTTGTGTAGTACTGAATCATAAGTAAAGCTGGGGTTTTTGCAGATCCAAGAAGGTTGCGACCGTTCAGAATGATATGATAAGAGGTTATTAATTAATACATTGACTGTTTTATGGATGTGATAGGTAAAGACCTTTAGAGTTTAATTAGGGAGATGGTAACTCTTTAAACAACTTCTTCCGTGGTGCCCCAAATCCTAATGAGTTAATTGTTACATGATTCATTTAAATTGGGTAATAATTAAACATAGTTAGTTGATTCGATAAATAACAGTCATCAAATTAATGAAAGTCACGTCACAACACCAGACTTCGATGACAAAGTTTGATGACAATTTTGCCCACAAGGACCGCCGCGCCACCGTCCTGTTCAAGTGAGCACAGCACAACAAAGTGAGTCCAAAAATGTCTTGTATGTTGCTGCATAAATAACGTAATATGCCAGGGAGATACGTAAACTGTAGCTAAGAAAGTAATACTAAGTGTATGTTGTGTAGTAAGCAGTTAGTAGCCCATGTGCCTCACCCTAATAATGTGGTCCCTTTCCCCCTCATAACTTAGTCTACTGTTCTGACTTGGTGGTGCACATGTATCCTATAGCCTGTTTTAGAGAAATGTCATCATCGAATATTGTAAGAGCTTTCATTGTCTGCTTATATGTCCCCTTTATTTATCCTACGGTTCTGACTTGGTGTACAGGGAGAATAATGTAAGAACGGCCCATGTTCTGAATTCTGTCGCTGTACATTTCAAAAGTGCTGAACAAATAGTTATATTGACTACGTCCGTCTTAGCTCGCTCATTAATGTCTTAATCGAAATTACAGATTGCCTCTTATCCGCTCATCGTGCCCTTATGTCATAGTTTGTACATCTCAATAATCAGTAGAAACCACATTTGTTTAATCAAGTCAGCCATATCAGCGTGTCAGCCATATCAGCTCCGCTGATAGCCAGGTGTAGCGGTGGTAAGGATTCACTCCATGGTGCTGAAAAGAAAGCTCTGCTGTTGGGACAGCTTTATGTAGGCCCTAACAGTTTGTGGGCACTGTTTATCACCGTTATAGTGCAATTAATGTATTGTTTAGTGTTGTGTTGTGGCTTTGCTGGCATTCATCAACAAAAACAAATGTGGAGTTTGCCCCACCAAGATTTACATGCTAAAATCGCCACTGCATGTGTTGTTATTACGCTACAGGTGTTGTTATTACGCTACAGGTGTTGTTATTACGCTACAGGTGTTGTTATTACGCTACAGGTGTTGTTATTACGCTGCAGGTGTTGTTATTACGCTACAGGTGTTGTTA